TTATCTTGAAATTTACTTAGTTGCCCCATCATTAGTTTGTGTATCTAAGTTTAAAAATGAGAGTCATGGTATTTAGGTGTTAATGTAAATAAGAATAATTTTGTAATTGAGTTGTGAAATTTACTTATTTAAAAATAATATAAAAGATAATTTTAGACTTAAAAATTTTAATACTACTTATTTGTTATTTAAGAAAATATATTTTGCTTCTCAAAATATTAATAGTGTTAATTTACCTTTTATACATAGGTGTATAAAAAATATAAGACTTTATTTATACAAGATGAATATGGTTCTAAAATATGGATCAAGGACCAACGTCAAGCTCAGGACCATGCCCAGGTTCTAACAAAAACCCACCGCCACATGCGAAAGAAAGTACCAATGGGACTGGTCTTGGCAAAATATCCTAATTTTTACGATCTTAGCGAAATGTTCCTGTTTTTTTTACTTGAACACCATAGTTATTCAATATTTATAATTTATGCTTAAAGTTGTAGTTCAAACACCAATTTAATAATTTTCTGTAAAAAAGCTCTAAACTCTATTATTTGAACTTAGAAAGTACTGAAGAAGACAAAATAAATCTAATTGATTTGGTGTTATTTAACTAAATTAGTGATTGAGAATTGTCTGTGCGAGTTGTTGGAAGTTTTGTTTCAAATTTGTACCACTTGGAGCATATTTGGGATGGTTTGATTGAAGTTGAAGGGAAAATATAGCATAAACTCTACCAATCGGGTATACTTGAAGAGCAACATCATGCCAACTTGGTAGACTTGATAAACAACTTAACACATAGGTATAGTAAATATAACATAAGCTCTATCAATCTAGTAGAGAACGCCGAAGAGCAATACATGTGGGCAGCTCGAGGGCCATTTTTAAATACCGCTAATTTTAGGGACATTCAGCTAAGACTAGTTGTCATACCTCTTTTTTCCGAAGATAAGAGAGTTTTCCCAATTAAAGTGACATTATTTGAAATAAAATTATTTATTTAATTAGAGTCACCACTTGGGATAGTTATTATGGTGTCCCAAGTCACCGATTTATTTTAAAATCTAAAATCGAGGAAATTAATTCTATTTACGGTCCGCGAACACAAAAAATCGGGTAAGAAATTCTATTAACTCGAGAGAAGGTGTGAGACACTCCCGAGTTCTTTGGTTTTAGCACGGTCACTCAACTATTAATAATTGGCCTAATTATCTGGTTTAATACATATCTAAAATCTATTGTGCATTCTAACTTTTTAATCGTTTTAATTGTGACGACCCGACCAATCGTCTTATGAGTTACCGCTCTGTTTCTCCCATTTCTGCTTCTTATTGCTTTGTCTATCGGTTCTATATGTGATCGAGTTAGTTGGCTAGGGCTCGGAAAGGTTTTGGTAAGGTTTGAGACACTTAGTCTCTTTTGAGGAAGCTTAAGCTGGAAAAGTCAACCGGATGTTGACTTATGTGTTAGAGGGCTCGGATGTGAATTCCGATGGTTTGGATAGCTTCGGGAGGTGATTTGGGACTTATGAGCGTGATCGGAATGAGTTTTTGAGGTTTGGAGTAGATTTAGGCTTGAATTGACGAAATTGGATTTTTGGCGTTTTCCGGTTGATAGGTGAGATTTTGATATAGGGCTCAGAATGGAATTTCAAGAGTTGCAGTAGTTTTGTTGTGTCATTTGGGATGTGTGCGAAAAATTTCAGGTCATTCGGGCGTGGTTTGGTTGGGTTTTTGATCAAAAACGAAATTCAAAAGATTTTCGGAAACTTAGGCTTGAATCCGATGTGTTTTGGTTGATTCGATGTTGTTTGAGGTGTTTTGAAGGTTGATATAAGTTTGAATAAGGTTATGAGGTATGTTTGTGTTTTTGGTTGAGGTCCTGGGGGCCTCGGGGTGATTTCGGATTACAAAACAAACAATGGAGTATGGACCACTCTAGAATGTTAAATCTCAAAAAGATAGGGTAAAGGAAGGAGAAAACTACCCTCTATAATCCTTCAAAATTTTAATAGCTCATATTTGTCCTACTTACAAAAAATGGCCCTTCGACCCAAACGTATTGCATATAGTAGCCGAAAGGAATAAGCATGACAACACAAGCGCCTGTAGCTCAATGGTTAGAGCGCCTGTTTCCTAAGCTGAAGGTCGCAGGTTAAACCCTCACCTGGTGTGATATAGCAACCCTTTTTGCCTTTTTAAATGTACTTCTGAATATTATAAATATTAGCTAACAATTGAATGAAATATGTAATGCAGGTCATATACGAAATGTCTATTTTTGTATATTTTTTGTATAATAACAGTCTATTTTTGTATATTTTTTTGTAAATTAACAGACTATTTTTGTATATTTTTGCATAGTGACTGTCTATTTTATATATTTTTTGTATAATAATAGTCTATTTGTATAGTGACAGTCTATTTTGTATATTTTTGTATAGTAACAATCTATTTTGTATAGTGACAGTCTATTTTGTATATATTTTGTATAGTGAGAGCTAATTGTATATAAATTGTAAAGTGACAGTCTATTTAGTATATTTTTATATAGTGATAGTCTATTTTGTACATATTTTGTATAATGACAGTCTATTTAGTATATTTTTTGTATAATGACATTCTATTTTTGTATATATTTTGTATAATGACACTCTATTTGTATATAAATTGTATAGTGACAGTCTGTTTTGTATAATTTTTTATATTGACAGTCTACTTTGTGTAGTGACAATTTATTTTGTATAATTTTTGTATAGTAACAGTCTATTTAGTATATATTTTATATAGTTAGGTAAGGATTCAGTGCCTAATCCTACTAAGCTATCACAAGAAAAACAGGACTTTCCACTAAAGTTTACCAACATCTAACTGCCACAATGAGAAGCTGAAAATAACACTTGATTTTGGCATGAAGTTATCTTTATAATTATTTGGATGGACAATATACACATAATAATAGCAGTAATAGTTGAATCTTTCAGTAAACTCAGAGCATTCACCATTTCTCTCCTTCACCTTACTAATAAAAGAGTTATCTGTAAATTATCCCTAACATAGATATGTGATTTCTTTTTTTAAGGGAAATGCTTCTTCCGTTTTACCCATCCTTTCCAAAACCAAAGCTTTAAGTGCCAGAGCATAAGGGGAATTGAGGTATTTGGAGAGGAGAGGGGTGCAGTGCTTGAGAGCATTTTTGAATTGGCGAGAATCAATGGCATCCCAAATGGGTCGAACTCTACGCTCCGGTATGCCACCAACTAACCCAAACTTGGACGCCATTTTCCAGCCGTTTGAGAATTGGATGCAATCGGTGATTTTGTAGCATAGTGTGGTTGCCTCTCTTTTCCGTGATCTGTCTTTACAGATGTGAGCCTCAGTACTTTTGGGCTAGCCACTAGAATTATTTTTAGGCTATAAAATGTATGTTACAATTTTTGGGCTACCGGATAAAATATGGGGAAGTTTGCTCTAAAGGAAGTGGGGCTACTTTTTTGGGAGCCCGTAATTAAAATTTATTACTCTTCCGGTTCACAATACTTAATTTTTTTTATTGTTTTTATACATATTAAAAAATTTATCTTTTAACATTAATTAGCAATAAAATTAATCATATTAATCTTTACTATCTCTTACATAAACACTCTAACACATACTCCAACACTATTTATTCAAAGGACAATCTAGGAAAAATATAATTAATTCATTTTTAAAATTTTAAAAAAAATCATATATTTTAAACCACAAAAAAAAGTTAAAAAATCACTTATTCATGACCGAAAGGGAGTACTACAGTAGAGGTGGCTGTTCATTGATTGCCGTAAAATTTATGGAAGGGGTGTCCATAATTTATATCAAATAATATGTCATTTGTATTTCACATATTCTTTTCTCATCTAACTCTGGTTAATTAATTTATATTTTTACTGAATAGAGTACTTAATTAATTATAATAAAATACATTGCTTTAATGTAAATATCGAAAGAGAATATCTATTTACCCTTCTCGGGATAATGCCAACTTTATACCATACCTGGACCATATCGCCTGATTATTCGACAGTGGTTGTTTCTCGATAGGAGGGCAAGACGAACATCACCTAATATCATTTGCAGCAGTAAGAATTTCTCAAAGAGGTAAAATTCTATGACTTAAACAACTTTATGACTTTCTCAACCTTTAAAGGTAGTAAAGTTACCTCAAAAGAAGAGTAATAAAAAGCAGGGTTAGCGGGTAAAAAACATATTACATATTCCCTGTTCTAATTTACGTGAACTTGCTTGATTGGGCACGAAATTTAAAAAAAAAAAAAAATTTAAAATTTGTGGTCCTAAACAAATCAAAAAGGGGCCCAGAGTATTTGTGTGGTTATAAAAGCTTCTCATTAAGGGTAGAATTATAAGTTTAAGCTAAATTGTTACCAAATTTAGAAATGGGTCATTCTTTTTGGAACGGACCAAAAAAGAAATAGGTTCACATAAACTTAAATAGAGGGAGTACTAAAAAAGAAACAGATAAAATTACTGGTGGTTACTGACATATGAAATTTTTTATTTTGTATCTCATACAACTAATGTCAGTTGTATGAGGCAATTTTTTTATCTTAGAATTTTGTGGACCCAAATTTTTGTGGAACTAAAAATATAAGATTGAGGTACAAAAAAGATTTGCATGAGTCACACTACAACTTCTCCCGACATATAAAGGAAAATGCGATGATGATTCTATATTGATTGTGGTCTCACTTTATTCAAAAGTGAGGATTTTTACAAGAGAAAAAAGTTGATTTCCACCTTCTAAATTTAACTATTTCTATGCATCAATCAAAATAAGTAAAGAAAAAGGGCAGCTCGTTGTTTAAAGTTCCCGTATTCATGGAGTCAGACTACCTTAACTATAAGTATAAATGGCTAAATTTACGGCTTAAACTAATCACTTATAAATTATACAGAGATAAATTTATCATTGTTTCAAAACAATTGTTCATCAATGTTTACTATTCAAAATATCCTTTGACTCCGTGAAAAAAGTTGATCTCTACGAGACTTCAACCTCTTCAATACTTTATCAATGCTAGTATCAAATGCATCTTTTACACCTCCTATACCTTCACCTGATCTCGCATAAACAAACTTAGGAAGCAGATTAATCAAAGTTTCTCTCATTTCTTTTACCTTATCTTTATGAATACCTTCTAATACCTTTAAAATCAATGACCCATTTGTATCTCTCACATCATCATTATCAATAAACACAGTATAAGTCTCAGACATCCACGGCAAATGCCATTCATATTGACCTTTAAATGTTCCTCTCCAGAAATAAACCGGAATTGAACCGGCCAACATACAGTCAAACGTTGACCGTCTAGTCAACCCGTCACCTCTTGGCTGTAAGCAGAAATCTGAATCAAGAAACGCTTCCATAATCGCCGGAGCTCCGTCGGAACAGACGGTGGTTGCACAATCAACGGCACGACAATTTTCTTCACTTTTACAGTAATCCATTAATACCCCACGAAAATCATTCTTGATTTTCTCACGTTTAGCACCAACGAAAGAAAACATCTTCGTACGTTCGTAATTACGAATGTAATTTTGCCATTGTACTATGTCGGATTCTGATCTTGGATGAAATGCTGTAGGATAAGGAACACTTTCTTCTAAATCATCGTTCTGATGTTTCTCAACGGATAAACGGAAAACGTTTTTCATTAACGACATGTAAAGTAAACTGGACCCCCATTCTGAATCTTTATCACTTAATCTTCGAAAATCCCACGTTAATCTACCGAGCATAATAAAATGGTCAACTCCTTTAGCTCTAGTAAAAGTTGGTTGCTTTTTTAACCAATCAAGAACCATTTCACTTTTACGATCTCGATCTTTAGCTGTATAATTGAACCATAAGAATTTACCAATATCAAGTCCAGCGTAAAACGGAATGTAAAACCCCGATGCTTTTTCTGGATCCAAAGTTCTGCATTTGTGACTCAACATTCTGTTATGGTAAATTACTTCAGCAGCATACATGTCAGTCCAGTACCAAGTTAGAGTAAGATTTGCTGGTACAACGCGTTCGAGCCCAGTAGCTCTAGGCCCGAACCCACCATTGGAAACCGCGCTGCAGCGTGATTTCCACGGGTCTAATTCATCACATTCGTCATTGAACTCCGTATTGAATGTTGCGGGGAGATCGTAGACGTAAACGTAACCGGATTGGCAGTCGGGGTCGAGAGCGAACAACTGTTGGGTGTTTGACGGCGGAGGGTGCGGCGGATAGGAGCCGATGAGGAAGAAGAGGATGAGGATCTGAAGGAATATGGTAATGAAAAGCCATAGGCAATGGTTTAAAGGGATTTGAGATTTGACTGAGTGAAAGGCGTGTTTGAGCTCAAAATTGGCTTTGGTTTTCTTTGAAAAATCATGTTCGTCAGTAGTGGATCTCTTGGTTTTCAACACCATTGTAGCTGCAAAGAAATTAACACTAGAAGGAACGACCTATGTTTTGAACTATGAAATGGAGTAGCCTTTTCGTCTTTCTAAGATTTGCATATAACTAGCTTGGTCTATTAAACTACTACTAGAAACTTAGTACGTGTGACTGATTTGAGTGTATGTTTTTCATTCTGCGAGGCTTGACTCAAAGCATTTGTTTTAAGCCTAACAAATTTTAAGCTTCAATAATTATTATTGTTATATATAATTATTTTTTTTCTATTTATTTAACCACTTAACCTATCTAATATAAAAGTCAACATACTCTCGTTTATAATTGTTTAAATTCACAAGTTTAGATGAGGTCGAGTTTTGAGTATAACTACCAAGTTGATCGATGATTGGATCACCTTTTATCATTTTGATCTTGGTCCTTTTTTTTCTTTCTAATTTTATTGTCTACCTCACAGAAATGTTTTTAATAATATATATGTAACATTACTGTTTACCCTCAAAAAGGTAAGAATCTCATGATTTACTGATTCTTCAGTTTCTTATTGATACTTGTCGAGATTCCCGCCGTGATATCCGACCAATTACAGATATTTCATCTTCCGTTATCCGGTCTGACAATGTTTTCTCAAGCTCCTTCGGGGTCGGGATCGATTCCGGGGTCATGGAGTCGATGTTACCACTACTAGAATTCCCGAAAAAGCGACCAAAATTGGTCGCTAAATTGGCGAAAATAATAAAATAATTATTTGATATACATTAGCGACCAAGGTTGGTCGCTACTTGGTCGCTAAATTCGTCAAAATATTGACCGGACTGGTCAGACTTGCTTGGTCAAAGGTATATTGATATTAGCGACCAACGTTGGTCGCTACAGTGGGACCCACTTATAAAATTATAATAATAATAATAATATTTTAAAAAATTTATAAAAGATAAATAAATATAATTTAAAACTAGCGACCAAAGTTGTTCGCTAATTAAGGGGTAAGCAGATAGCGACCAAATTTGGTCGCTAAAATGGGACCCAGTTATAAAATTTTAATAATTATATTTTTATTTAAAAAAAGTTATAAAATATAAAAAATATAATTCAAATTTAGCGACCAAAGATGGTCGCTTACAAAAATAGAGACCAACTTTGGTCGCTAATCTAGGACCCAGTTCTAACGTTTAACAATTATATTATTATTTTAAATATTATATAAATATATAAATAAATCTGATTTAAATTTAGCGACCAACTTTGGTCGCAAATTTAAATTTATGTATATTTAGCGACCAAAGTTGGTCTTTTTTCAGGTCAACAATGGTCAAAATTAAAAATCACTTTTGTATTTACTATCTAAATAATA